TTTTCAAATTAACAATAGAAAACATCCAGAAATTTATGGAAAGTTAAAGGAGTTTCAAGTGAATTCCAGGAATTCCCAAAAAGATTCATCTATGTTATTAATAGTGATGTTTGATAGCTATATTTGGCGGATAAAAATTTCCAATTTGAAATTTGTATCCGCCATGTGGAAGATTGTCTATGAATAAAATTTCAGGATGATACCTCATTTGGTTCAGAAAATATTGCTATTTAACAACAAAAAATTCAGCATAAGAAAATTGAATCTGAATATCTCAAGAACCTAAAGGGGCTGGAGGTTCCAAAATTCAGATTTTCTTAATTTTTATAAACCCTATAACATATAAAAAAATGAGCAAAATCCAAAACATGGGGTAATATGAGCCTACTGATTTGACATAGAATTAACCTAATGTTTAAATTACCAGCTAATGTTAATAGTTTAAAATAAATCCTTTTGTGATTTAAATCGTTTTACATATTCTTAGCATTCTACTTAACAACTTATTCAATTTTATGTCACACATTAAAATTAAAGTCAATTTTATGTCACACATTAAAAAGTTTTTTCCACATCTTTTGGATCATTATGCATTAGTTTTTGACATTACTTATAACTCATCTCATAAAAATTCCTATAGAAGAGAGATTTGGTGATTAGGGAGGCCAAATCATTTAATACAATATCAGATCATTCTCTAACACAGTCAAAGTTAAGTTATTTAACTTATACAATATTTTGGAGAATACATTTTGGGTAGTTTTCTTCTAAAAAAATAAATAGCTTCTCATTAACCAAACTTTCAAATGGTATAGCATAACTTTTTTTTTAATATCCAAATAAACTACTTTTGTCATTACTTCCTCTCTTTTTTTTTTTGACTTTTTTTTGGACAAATTACCATCTCTTGAAGCCAAAGATTTAAAACTTTGACAAATTGGTCTAGGTTTTCAATTGTCTATTGAAAAGTAAATTGTCTAAAAATGCATCTATTGTCTATTAAATATAAATTGTCTAAAAATGCAAAAACAAAAACAAAAATAATTAATGAGAAAACATTGAAAAATTAATGAGAAGATATTTTGAGATTGAATTTAACTAGTAGAAATCTGACTGTTTCTCTATAAGACAACCTTTTTTTTTGAGATATAGAATTTGAAGTTATAAAATTGCAGAGCTAGGTGGCAGTACTACTCGGTCCGCTTCTGCGCAACTCTGCTAAATGCAGACTTTCCATTTGTTAGCAGAGTTCTGAAAATGCTTTTACTCTGCAACTAATTTGATTTATTATTCATATTATGGATACATATGCATTAATCTAGACTTTTCTATAATTTTATCAAAGTAATCTTGATCTAAAGTTGAACAGCAACTTTTAAAAATACAACTGCTATTTTCTTATAGTGACAAATTATAAATAATGCTATGTATTCAATGTTCTTTACATTAGAAATTTCTTCATGTAAAATAATGCTCATTCTTGTTAATTTTAACTTTCAGTTTTTCAAATGTTTTTCATTTAACAGTAAGGTTGTAGTTATTATTCTCAAAAACAGTTTAGAGAAGTCAAATGTCAAGAAGTTAAATAAAGCCCAATCTGGGATGTTTTTTGCAGACGTCATGTTAGACCTGTATTTGGAATTTAGTATATACAGGCTTAGCTAGGAAGGCATACGATTTCAAATCTTTATATGACCACGCAAATAATGTTTAGATGATTTAACCACGGTTTTTAACAAATGCACTAAAAAATTGGTTTTTAAAATAAATATCTTTGATAAATAACTTTGATATGTTTTTATATTACCAAAACTCTTATAAAATTTAAAGTTAAAAAAAAAGTATTTAAAAAAATTTTTTTTTTTTTTTTTTAATTTTTTTTTAAAGCGACAACTTTAAACAATGATAACTTTAAATAGTGATAACTTTAAAGCGACAACTTAAACGGCGATCTCTTTAATAAACTTTATATAAGAATCGTTAAAATAATTCATTTCAAAATTAGAAAGATTTTCTTGAGAAGAAAAAAAAATACTAACTCTTTTGAAAGCCATTTGAATTAAATAACTTTGATTTTTACTTATGTTTATTATATTATTGAAATGCATTTAAATAAAGTAACAAATCACCGTTTATGGTTTTTTATAAAAATATTAATGAATAATATAATATATACATTATTTATATTTGTATAAGCATGTATTTTTTATTTTAAATCAGGGGTGCGGAGTCGTAAAAAAAAAGTAACGACTCCGACTCCAGTTGTTGAAATTTTTTCAGTACAACTCCGACTCCAGTTGTTGAAATTTTTTCAGTACAACTCCAACTCCAACTCTAACTCTGACTCCAACTACAACTCCAAAGCAAAATTTTTGAAAATTTTTTTGAGTTCTTTAAAAAATATTACTTGATAAATTAAAAAAATTTTTTTTGACAAGTTTATGAAACGTTCTTTGAGGTTTAGTATGAACATAAGGTTAATTGAACGTTTTGTACATGCACGTACAATACCGAGAAGTTTTACTATTAGAGTCGGAGTCGCAATTTTATTTAGCGACTCCGACTCCGCTTAAAATGTTGCAACTCCGCAACTCTAACTCCGACTCCACAGCCCTGTTTTAAATGTCTTTAAATAAAAAAAAATTATATCAACTTTTTAAATAAACATTTTAACTATTTTTTATTTTGTTTATATTACTGCGAAGAATTGTTACGGATTTTTTAACTTTTAAATGCATTTATTAAACAATTTTAAGCGCATATATTTAGCAACTGTTAGATGTAAGTTGTTACTTTATTTTAAAATGTTCCGCATAATATCATAAAACATTAGTAAAGATTAACAATTAAAAGTTATTTATTCCAAACCTAATTTAGATAATCTTAGCGTTAAAGTTTATTATTTGTTTTAGTTAAGTTTTAATTTTATTTTTTTAAATTTAAGTTTTAGTTAAGTTATTTTATTTTATTATTTTTTTTTTTTTATGAAGATTTATTTGCTTTTTTAACGATAAGCTTTTTTTAAGTTTCTTCATAGTTAAAATAGTTTTTTCAGCCCATTTTTAAAAAGCATACAAATTTTCAAAACATATTAATAGCTGTGGTCAAGTTTTTAAAATCAAGTAGTATTTGTGTGGTCATATTATGACGTGAAATCACATGCCTTCCTGGCCAAGCCTGTATATACGAGAGAGTGTGTAGAAGCAAATTATTTCTGTCAACAGTTGACTGTTTCTTGTTCCAGAAAATATTTTTCAAATTTAAAAGTTTTGTAGTCAATTATAATTTGATATTTTAACTAGATTTTTTTAATCCTCAGATAGATGCAACAACTACAGATAATGGTTCAAACTATGCTAGTATCTTTAACCAGTTTGGTTTATTTGAGGAAGAAAAAAAAAAGAGAGAAAAAAAAAAAAAAAGTTGAATTTATATCCTGAACTGGTCAACCTGATGCTTTTCTTTTTGGAGGAAATATCTAAGAAGTTGCAATGATGATATTATTCTACCAAACAAACATGGTTGTGCAGTTCTGACAATGAACTTGGTGGCTTGTAAGAATACCTAATTAATGCCGAATTTAAATTTGAATCCCAGGCCATTGTTTTTAAAGCCAGTTTATGGAAAATGAGTAGGTTTATAGAAAATGAGTGCCTAAAACAGGAGGACTGTAATGACAAATGACATCATGTTTAAACTCTGTCTATTGTGCATTGAAATTCTAACAATATCTAACATTAAATTTCTTGGTAATATCTAGGTATTTTATGGTACATTAAATGGATTCTGGTGCAAAATCTTAATTTTTGGCGATGATTATGCACATGAAGTCCCTCATCATGCATCTTTTTACTCCATCTATTGTATCATCCACTGTGCTATATTCAGGGCAGATGCAATTGACAACTGGCAGCTTGTAATAGGGATATGCTAAAAAATGAAAACACCATTTGTATGTAAACCTAAAAAAAAAGTGTTTTTTTTTTTAGGTTTACATAAAAAGAAAGTGTTTTTTTTTTTTTTTTCTTTTTAGTTTTTGGTAGCAAACTAGTTGGGGACTAGCGGCAGCAGTTTCTGGTTTCCAAAGATCTGACAGGTAGTAGTAGAGCTTTTAAATATTTATTAGTGATGCCAAGCTCTATAGAATAGGAAAAAAAAAGTTCCACTTACTCAGTAAAAGTGACCTATAGTGTAGTGGAAACACGTTTGGTATAATTTGCAAAAATGTTTGCAAAAACATGCTTCTTTATAAGGAAGTTTGTTTTTGCAAACATTTTTCAACCTAATAAGAAAGTTAAAAAAAAAAAACTTTATATGACAGATTTTAATTTTAAATATGTAATTTATCTATTTTGATATATTACTTTTGTTAAAAGTAACATATTGCTTTAAAGATAAAAGCAATAACTTAAATTGCTATGTAGTTCTAATAACAAGTAATAACTAATAAATCAATAATAAGTAACTTGCTCTAATCATATGATCATGCTATATGACTTTTTTTAATCACATTTAGTAAATAACTGACAGTAACTAGATTAAAAGAATTAAACAATAAATATTGAATAATCTATAAATAATAATGTATATATATTTACATTTCATAACTTAGTATTAGAGTTTAATACTAAACCTATTAGCAATAGTAATATGTGATGAAGTTCCAAATAGTAGCATACAATTGCAAACAGTCACCTAATTAATATATAACAAATAAATTGCAAAATATACCAGCAGGTTGGTATATTCCTTAATTTATGTTTTATATACTAAATTTTTATTCAATACTAGCATTAATTAGCAATAAGTCTATTAATTATTAAATACTTTAAAATATATGTTATATAAAAAATATATTAAATTATATGTTATATTAAAAATACTTTAATTATACTTTATATTAAATATTGTTTGGAGTTATATGTCTGTGTTCAAGCACACACCTTTACTTAGAAATTTGTATTTTACACCATATATAATTTTTATAAACAAAAATATACCTGGTTTTCTTGGACTTGACACAAATGCAATTCTTCCTTTAGGTGGAGGTTTATTTGAATGAACAACTTTTTGATTAGGCTGGGTTTTTTTAGTTTCTTTATTCTCAGTATTTTTTTCAGGCAAACCATTTTTATCTTTTTCAGTTTTATTTAATGAAGTTTCATTTTCACTTTCTTCTTCACTGTGATCTGTACTTTTTAGTGAGCTAGGTCTGGAATAAGCAGTATCATTTTCAGAAAATGTATCATCATAATGTTTGTTGTTATTAATTTGAAAATTATCATTGCTTTGAGTTTTAGCTGAAACCTTTTGATCATCATTGGAAAAATCTGGTGAACTTTTTCTTACACTCTGTCGTGAAGTATTACTTAGTTGTGAGTTTCTATCATTATTATCAGAAGTTTCATAATTGGAATATCTTGAATTATTTCTACTTTCTTGAACATCATTAATTGAGGATCTAGCTGATGCTGGTAATTTTGCTGTTCCAGAATTTGGTTTTGATTTTATATTATAATCAGTTTCTTGAGACTTTTTTGATGAAGGCATTAATTCATCTTCGCTATCAGAAGATCCAAGATAACTTTTTTGCAAAGAAACTTTATTGATTGAGCTTGTGCTTGATTTTCTACTATGCAAACGAGATGAGGGCTTTGAACTATTAGAGTTAACTAATTTCTCTTCATTATCAGATTCATTTATTTTATAAGTAGAATTAAGATCATTTGTAATATTATTTTCATTACTACTTAAAAAAAAATCATCATCAAATTGCTTTTCTTCTGGATCTGGACTGTTATTTACCATAATTTAAAATACTTTTTTTTTTAACTGAAAAGACAATATAAATGTGAATAACAATTTTTTTTTCATAAAAGTATACATAACAACCTTTAACTAAAAGCATTTGAAAACAAATCAATTTTAATAATCATTTATTTAAATCTACAGAAGCAAGCTTGATGACTAGTAAAAGTATTAAACTGCTGAAGATTTCCAGCAATAGATATCCTTTTAAAGTAATTTTAAAATATCTCAACACTGATATAAAATTTATTTGTTAACTTTATAACTAGTTATAAAGTTACAATTATAACAATAGAAGATTTTTTTTATTGCTATAATTGTTTTCATTATTAATAGTAGAATATAATTAAACTAGGTACTTATGTTTTTATTAACATTTATTTAACATTATATTATTGTTTAATGTTAGATTGCATCAATGCCAGATATAATTGTCAAAATTACAAAAATGAGTAAATATCTTAATTTTCACTACAAATTTATTTTGTTCTATTTATTTTAAAGGTAATATATATATATATATATATATATATATATATATATATATATATATATATATATATATATATATATATATATATATATATATATATATATATATATATATATATATATATATATATATATATATATATATATATATATATATATATATAAATATATATATATATGTATATATATATATATATATACATATATTTATATTTATATATATATATATATATATATATATAAATATATATATATATGTATATATATATATATATATATATATATATATATTATATGTATATATATATATATATATATATATATATATATATATATTATATATATATATATATACATATATATATATACATATATATATATATATATATATATATATTTTTTTTTTTTTAAAGGTTATATATATATATATATATATATATATATATATATATATATATATATATATATATATATATATATATAATATTAAAAATAATAATAACAGTAGTTAAAAGAAAACTCAGCTTTTAAGTATTTCTTTAAATCCACAATAACAAAACTTGACAGTAAATCTTTTTAACGCCATCTTTAATAATTCAAAATTTTGGATGATAATTTTAAAAAAAATGCTTGTTGCTAAGAGACGACACAATAAAAAAACTAATTATAGAGGGGCAATTTTAACGGACTCAAAATAATTATTTTTTGCAATCAAAGATTTGCTTTTTTGATCAGATAAGATGTAGCGCTGTTTTGTACCTTAATTTGTATATGTTAATTGTGACTGATTGAACAAATACATAAATAAAAATCCAATATAACTCTATAATCAATATAACTTTCCTGGAAAACCATTAATAATTTTCATCGTTGATGGTTAACCATCGCTGATAGTTAAGTGTCAAACCAGTCTATACAACCAAGTTGAAAAAAATTAGTTTATGTTAAAAAAAATTATCTAAGTAGTGTTTCTTTGTAAACATCAATAATTTGTACTTAAACTTTTCAACTGTACTGAACTGCAATTACTTTTAATTTTTTGGTTTAAAGCTTTTGTTATAAACTTTGCGTCTAATTATCTCATTTCAACATATTCGTTGTATAGGCTAGTTTGGCGCTAAGTTTTCCATATTTTGTAAATATTTCTATTTCATTGAAAAACAGCGTTTAAAATGTAAACGAAAAATCGTTCAATAAAAAAAAAAATTCTATTTAAAAAAAAAATTCATAAATAAGTGATTGACCTTATCGTAACTTATTTATAAATTTGTTTTATATCATAAAACTAATTTATGTGTTTAGTTGCTATGTTTTTATTAAATAAAAACATAGCAACTTCGTATCTACTATACTTGTTATTCTAAAAACGTTTTTATTTATTAATAACTTAATAATAAATCTTATAGTTTAGCTTTAATATTACAGAAATTGTACACGTGCGTTTTCATTTAAATATTGCAATAAATTTTTTTATAGGAAAATAGAAAGATTCAGGAGAATATAAGGTTAATCACTTTAATCAAAAAATGTTGTCTTGTTGTAGGAGTCAATGATAGTATACTTAACTTCATAAATTTCATATTCTGAAGACCCAAAATAAAAATTTTGATATATGTCCATTCTCTGTAATATGTATAATAACTATAACACTCAGGGATTTTAGCAGTTTTGCTTTTTAAAAAATTATCCTCAATAAAAAAAATAAAATAAAGTGCTTTACCCAAGGCAATAATTCCTGTTGGCTATGAGTAATTATAGCCAACAGGAACAACATTCTATAGACACTTTTATAAGTAAAATTGTGCAGAAATTGAATAAAAGAGCGGTAAGAACAGGTGATATTAGTTTGAAGTAATATAACAGATGAATTTAGTTTGAAGTGAAGTATAATCAGAATACGCGGTATAATCAGAATGATCAGTAAATACGCAGCCGTGGCGCGTATTTACTGATTATTCTGATTATACCGCGTATTTAAAATAGTGTCAAAATTATTTTATTAACAGTTTGATAAAATAATTTTTATACTATTTTTAAATAAATTTATATTCATCAATAAATTTTAAAACTCGTACAATTACCATTTGACGTTCAAAAACTATGACCATAAAAAGTTTAAATCCCTCTCAATTTGAAGGATTTGCACATTTTATAAGGCCATAATTGTTGAACGCTAAGAGATAATTGTGCGAGTTTTAAAATTTATCGATGAACATAAACTTGGTTGAAAATAGTAAAATAAGTACTTTATCAACTTGTTGCTCTCACGTTTGGGGCAGGTGTAGCTAAAATGTTAGGGCTTTTTTTGTTCCCGGGCTCCAATCATCGCAACTTTTTGCAAAGCATCTTTATTTGATATAAGCATAAACATATAAAACTTTGGAGTTTGCTCCGTGTCTGGATGTTAGGTATCTTAAACAATAAAAAAATGCTGCATCCGCACCTGATTAGTATCAATTATAAATACCGTTGTAGAAACATCAACTGACTGATATTTAGACAAAAATACTAGAACTCAATTTTTAGGATTATTTAAAAATTTAATAGCATTTGAATTCTTATTATTTTTGTATTTTATAAAAAACATCATGTACAAAATGAAAATGAACTTTAAATTCTTAATATAATTGATGCTCTTGTGTTGCTAAACAGTTCAATTGAGATTTTTTTACAGTTTTAATGTCAATGGATAATTTAGTGCAATAAAATATGCGCTCCAATCAGGCATTGATTTTGGATCTGATTTTAAAAGAGTTTATAGAATAAGACTTTTGCTAAAACTCATTGGTTCTAATCATATTCTCAATCGATATTTAATTTTTATACATTTTACAGATCGGAGTTTTATTATCTCTGAGCATTTGAAAAAGTGTTATAAAAGTATTGAACCATCTTTTTTTAAATTAAAAGCACCGTTAAGTACCAAATACTTTATATAGATCACATTGAAAAAAATTATAAAATTTTTCCCGCCAGGTTGTGATGCATCTAAAATAAATAATTATTGTGGAATTTATTCTGAGTTTTTGCTGTCGGTCTTTTGTTGCAAAGGCATTTTTAACTTATCAGAAAATTTTGATGCATCAGAAACACACAAGAAACTTTTGCCAACTATATAAGAAATTTTAAGAACAATGTTAACAGCACTCATAGGTACCATCATCCAGAGCTTTTAAAGCATATAAAAATCTGCAGACTCAAATATATATATATATATATATATATATATATATATATATATATATGTATATATATATATATATATATATATATATATATATATATATATATATATATATATCATATATATATATATATATATATATATATATATACATATATATATATATATATATATATATATATGTATATATATATATATATATATATATATATATATCATATATATATATATATATACATATATATATATATATATATATACACACATATATATATATATATATATATATATATATATATATATATATATATATATATATATATATATATATATATATATATATATATATATATATATATATATATATGTTGTTGCTATATAACTGCAAAAGCCATGGCCCTAATGGCTTTCGCAGTGTCGACAGCCATATCACCAAATAAACGAACATTTAGAAAATTAAAATTGATCATAACTTATTTTAAATCCACAATGCACGTTGATGGACTAAAAAACTTGTTGCTTCTAAATACAAACATATGTTGAACATAACTAACTTAAAAAGAGGGGTTGATAATGGGCGTCAGTGAAACAATGGAAAATCAATCTTTAATTAAATTAAGAACCAGTTCTCTGGTTTAAGAAATACCTAAATTTCTAAAACAAGTTGATGGTTTTTTATTGTTATAAAAAGCTTGTTTTTAATTGCTTATTAAATTAAAACTTTTTTAAAAGTTAGGTATGCCTAAATGCCACATGCTGAATCAATCAACTCGTTCAAAGATAATGCTTACAAATTGAGATCAGTATCAGTTATGTTAAGGAACAATCTTTGTTTTTATCCTGCATTGTTCCAATTAACCTTTATATTGAAGAATCTGGTGAATCACTATGGGCAATGAAAAACCATCCTCTACACTTTACTGTCGTCCAGTACGATTTCAATATGTAAAAGAAAGTGCTGAGGTTATTACACAAGAATATGTTTCTTTTAAAAACAATAATTTGAAACCAACGATCTTTAACTCCTTTGTTATCAAACATAAGTTAGAATGCACAATGATTGATGGAAAAGTGGCAACTATAGTTTTGCCATTAAATAATGTATGTTGTATTTGTGGACTGACCCCTGCAAATGTGAACAATCTAAATGTTGCTTTTTCTAAAATATATAATCAGTTTCTATTGAGCTCGGATTGAGCACATTAAATGCTTGGATTAGGTTCTTTGAATGCTGCCTTCGTATAAGTTATAGAACTGAATTGGAAATTGGCAAATTAGAGGAGAGGATGATAAAGAAATTATTATAAAAAAAAGATTATTGTTTAACAAAAGATAAAAGTTCACTTAGGTTTG